TCAGCTTTCCCGGGTGAAATCAGCAGAGAACTGCCACCACACGCAGGGAATGTTTGAGGCCAACAGTAGCCCAGTCAAGGGGCAGGAGAGGATGGCAAGTGCGCTACTAGACCCCCCTCCTTACAAAGGACTTGACATGAAGTACAGGGAGGGTTTGATTCCAATTCAGGAGTTTGATAGATTAATTTACTTTAATGTGCATTTTACTGGTGCGTCCAGTTAGGTATATGTCTCGGGAACCTGATCTGACAGAAAAGGAACAGCAAGGAGGGAGAGGGCCTTCAAGATATTTTTATCTCAGCTACCGTCCAGTGTTCTCTCTCTACTACAAGAAGTTCCATGATGAAAGAACTATGCGTCTGCATCTCATCTTGAATAAATGCAATCTAGCTTAGAGACTATGAGCCTACCCTCCAAAATCACAGCGGCTCGATTTGGATCACAGCTCAGCTACATAAATGTTAATGACTTTGGGCAAATTCTTTAACTTCCTTTAAAGTGTTTTCCGTAAAATGGGCAGTGCTGTGGTCCTTGTAGGGAGTTGTGAGGCTCAGTGAGGTGATGCACTTACCCCGCCTGTCACTGTGGCTGGCACAAGTGCCGGCTCCATGAGCGCTAGCTATGGTCGTTCTTTCAGTGCACTACAAACCAGAACTCTTTGCAAAGCTGGTCCTTTTAAAAATCAGACCAGATGTCAGTGCCACACCAGAAAGAGATTAAATGTATATATAAATGTTTATGTAGTGTTGGCGGGTGGTCAGTACAGTATTTTGTAAGTTTAATAGTAAAAGTGTTTTTGTCAAGTGACATAGACTGAACTGGGCACGTTAGAAACACTACGTCTTTACAACAGCGTAGTGAATTAATTAAATTCAATTAATGAATCAGTAACATTTCTGTATTTAATTTGATCAATTATGTAAAGCGGTATCAGTGAAAATTTTCCTCCCATATTTATACCCTATCTCTTTCACTTCACCCCCAATAAATAACACTGGTTACTAGTTTTTTTGTGCATTTTTCCAGAATTCAATGTATGTACAAGCAAAGATGCATATAAATTCTTCCCACACAGACTTTGTTTTTACACTGACAGATACAATTTTATGTGTTTATGGTGTACAACCTGATGTTTTAAAGTCTATATACATTGTAGAATTACTAAATCTAGTTAATTAACATATGCATTAACTCACATAGTTATTGTTTTGTGTTGAGAACAGTTATCCACTCTCTTCGCATTTTTAAAGAATGCAGCATGTTGCTACTAATGATAGTCACTATGCTGTACAATAGAGCTCTTGAACTTACTCCTCCCAATTAACTGCAATTTTGTCCCACATACTTTTTTTACACAAATGTTAGCATGCTATGCATATTCACCTTGTCTTTTCATTTAGGAACATATTTTAGTATATAGCTTACTATTTAAGTAGTAGTGGTAATAATAATAGTAGTAGCAGTCAGTGAGTAATAATAATAAATTATAGGCACCATTTTAGGATTTATATACATTAATTCATTTAATGTTCAAACAACCCCATGAAAAAGTACCAAAAGTACTACCAAAAGTACTGAGACATCATACCTATTTTATAGATGAGAAATTATCAGTTTTGTGAGTTTCAAATGTATTTCTAGTTTTCATTTGCCATAGGATATCTTATGATTTCATTCTTTATTAAATATCTTCACAGGCAGATTCATCCAACTTTTTTAGGTCACTTTTTGTTTTGAATCCTAACTTAAAATCCCTTATCCATTCTGAGTTTATACAGAAATTTTTCAATAATTACTCTAGCACTTTTTTTCCATTTGTTTTGTCTGGAATTTATATTAGTGGAGTTGGAGACATGGATTCAAATATTTTTTCCCTAATGGCTAGCATTCAACACAGTTTATTGTACAGTATAGATTTCCCTCACTGATTTGAGATTCTACTTTGATCACATATTTAACTCTATGAATTGGGTCTATTTCTTGACTTTCTATACTGTTGTTTTAGTCTGTCCATTTTTCTCAGAGTTTCTCAGCACAGATCAAAGTCTGACTCACCAGAGTAACCAATCTTTTCATAGCAGCTAAAAAAAAGTAAAATGCTAGCATCGTTAAATGACAATAAAGATTAAACTGTTAACAGAATTAAAGTGTTAATTGGTTTTAACTGCTCTGCAGAAAAGCTGTGCTTTGAAGAATTTCATTACTTTCTATAATTAAACATTAAATTTTAAATACTGAATAGAAACACCACTGGGTTTTCAGGAACATGCTCCTGCTCACTCCATTGCTGAGAGTTTAAAATTTCTGTGTGCATGCAGGATAAATATGTGGTCATTAAATAGGTACACAATATTGCAAAACATAGAGTGAGAATGAAATTATACAGCTGTGAAGATGGACAAAATTGCCAGAGGTCAACTAATCCATCTGCAGCAAAATTTTATCTAGAGAACTACAAAGAATCATTTTAAAGTATCTATGCTTACTTTTTAAAAGTGTCTCCATAATTTCTGACTTGGTGAATTTCTTGTGTGTGTCATTTGGAAGAAAGACTGTCATTTTGAAGTCACTCGGTAGGGAGTCAAGTTTCGGTAGAGATTCATAGGCAGAAAAAGGGGAGTGTCGGCTAATACTAAGATACCAGGGACTTTTCTCCAGGAACATTCCTCCAGGGCACCATATGTTAGGGCTGTTTCTCCTCTGGAAGGAAACAATGGGAACCATGGTTAGTGGGGTGCCTCACTTGGAGTTCGGTTTCCTATGAATGCATACGTCCCCATGATTTCTAGCTCTCCATTATTTATTAGAACACAGCAGAGATAAGACCAACACTACTGTTATTTCAAGTGATTCTGGATGTGAGGGGTGAGGTAGGATAAAGAAACAGAGGATACTCTTTTAGATTCCCTAGAAGAATATAATGTGAAAAACAGCCATTTAGAGAAAAGACTAGGATTTTTAGATTCCCACTATATTTAAATATATTGACACCCGACCACATGCTGGCTGTCTCGGAGGAGGGGGTCCCCAAGACCAGCCTCTGGATCAGTGATTCTCTAAGACTAGTAAGACTAAGAAAAGATATACTCACAGTGTGGTTTACTGCAGCAAGAGATAAAGATTAAAATCAGCAAAGGGAAAAGGCACAAGAGATGAAGACCAGGCAAAGCCGCCTGGTCCAGCCGCCCCTCCCACCTCCCCACCCCCCAGTGGAGCTACGTGAGGACACGCTTAATTCTCATGTGTGACAACATGTGAAGTGCAGTCAGCCAGGGAAGCTCCCCTGAGCCTCGGTGCCAGGGTTTTACTGGGAGTCAGTCATGTAGGCATGCAGCACCCCCAGGACTGACCTCAGCTATTTAAGGCACCAGCCTCAATCACGGTAAAAACAGGCATTCATCCTCAGTCACATTGTTGGAATAAATTGATCCCGTCACACTGGTGCAGCATGGCCCAAGGCATACGACTTACAGAAATAGGCAGAATATTCCAAAAGCTCAGAGGTTATATCCCAGAAACCAGCCAAGGATCCATCCTGAAAACAGGATTCTTCGGAATGTGCAGGGTTGGAGGAACACAGACCTGCTAAATTAACCCTTTCCTGACCACCATCACATATGTTACTTCATTTAATTAATTAAAAAAAAAAAATCTGTGACAAAAACGTTGTCCCATTGTATAGATGAGGAGTCAATAGGTAAAGTAACTCACTCAGGTCAATCCCATGTTGCTTTTTCTTCATGGCCCTTTGCTTCTTCCCAGCAGCAGATACTATACTAACGTGTGATTCTTTGACCAGTGTTTTCCTTCCCCCGCTACTTGAAAAGCCTCAGAGCCAATGGGCCTTGTATATTTTTCCCTCATACTCATCCCCAAGCCCAAGACAGTGCCTGGCTTATACTACCTACTTGAAAAATAAGTGATAAATTTTTATAGCAGCCCGAGCCATGATGGTAGAAATTTATGTCCTAGTCTTCTGAGTCTTATACTGTTATAATTTTCCTATACCACAATGTCAAAAAAAAACAAAACACAAAACCCTGAAAATAAGTATGTCAGTCCTATTTACCTCTTAGAATTGTTATGAGGCCCTAGACTATTCCTCAGGGCTGGAAGAATTATATTTTTCATCGTTTTATTTTAGATAAGAAAAAATATTAACTTTGTGCAAATAATTTTCATATGAAGAGCAAAAACATTTGTAATTGTCTACAGATATCAATAGGATTCTAGTTTGGAGTCAGGAAAGACAAACATCATTTAATGTTTTCACTTTTCCGCCAAATGAATGCAATTGAGGAATGTGTGTGTTGGTGGCCCCAGAGTTAGGAGATTCAAATATAACTAACACTTCTGTTTTTGCTCTTCCCAAGTTAAGGACAGAATTCTTTGGAGTTGTTTGCCCTTTTTGTCATATTTCTTCATTTATAACCTTCAGTTTTACATATCACAGTCTGAAAGAGCTGTACAGATATGGCTTCTAACATGTCCTCATTTGGGTCCAGGTGTCATCTTCCACTCCTCTTCAATGAAATGTTGACCTGCGGGAAGAGTTCTGTAGGCCAGTGAGTCTTAAATTATAATGTGCATATGAATCGCCCGGGGACTTGTTAAAGTGCAGATTCAGACTTGGTAGTCAGGACACGTTCCCAGCCAGGCAGATGCTGCTGGTCCAAGGACCATGCCTTGAGAACCAAGTCAAAAGCCATCTAAATTATTTCATCTTTCTCCTCATCATCTCCTCTGCTATAGGCTTGCTACCACAAAACTGTTCAGACAGGTATGAAAAAGTCTCTATATCTATTCCCTAACAGCTCCCCAAAACCACATTTTAAACAATAGCCAGGGAAACCTAAGCTATTCCAACAAGGCTGACAAAAGTCGAGAACATGACCTTCAGCTTGGCTTAAGTACAAACATTGAAGAAAGAGCATCTTCTACTTAAAGTTTCTTTACTTTTTATGTTAATATTTTAAGTGACTTATTTCTTGATCAAAGGATGAAGTTTATAGTAGTTTTTATTTCAAAGACTGAAAAAAAAAAAAAAAACCTTCTTGTAAGCATTCAAACTCCTCTACTGGGCAGAGTTAAGTCCCCAAAAATGGACAGGCATTCGTGCTTTAAATCTCAATGACTGAATATGAAATAACAATTTTTGTCTTCATTATCTCATTTCCAAAGGCTAAAAAGCAGTGTTTTTTAGATGACAGTGAACAAAACCCAACTTCAAACAAGATGCACCCACTACTTATCAATGGTTTTGCTGCTGCTGCTGTTGGATTTCTTTCCTCCTGTGAATCAACAAAGAAAGCTCATTTGTTTCACTTTGTGAAAACTCTTCATTTTTTCCCCTAGACTTTCCATTTCACGCTGTGTGGATTTTATTAAGATCTCTTTCAGAGAAGCTAAGTGCTGGCTCTATGAGGCCCTAAGGGATCACAGTTGCAGCCTCTGTAATGTCTAAAGCCTCTTGAGACACTTCTTTTCTACTAAAAATTCCTTGGAGAATCATAGACAAGAATCTAAAATCTTTTTGGTACTTGAAGAAATAGTTTGTCCTCATGAATATTTTGGTGTTATAACCTGAAAACCAACAGCACAGACATCCAGTTAATGTTTAGTATCTGAGTATTAACATCATATTGACACTGGGTGGGTCTTTTTGAAGTCCTTCAATTATTTTCAAAATATTTTTTTCATCTCAGAATTAGTTTTGTTAATAAAACATACTTATAATCCTACTGACTGACAACTTCTCAGTGAGTTTTTTCCAGTGAAAAATTATGATCTAAAAAAGTAATTATAATTAGATAATTGGAAAAGGATTTTTTTTTTTGTTTTTTTTTTTTTTCCTTAGGATTTTTATTTTTGGGTTTTCGGAATTGCCGTTATTGGTTGATTATTTTGTTCTCCCCATTTTTTTTTCTTATTGGCTTATTGGCTTTTTTGCCATTGGCAATTAAAATTCTTTTAATTATTCCGGCCTTTTTTTTTTTTTTTTTTCATTTTTTTTTTTTATTCTTAACCCCAAACGTATTTCCAGACAGCAATTTCTTTATGGTAGATGCTTAGATTTGTTAAAAAATTTGCCTATGATGAAATTAGTAATAGCCAATGTTTTTGAGCACTTAATATGTGCTAAGCAGCACTACAAATATTTTTTGTGTCAACTCTTTTAACCTTTGTAAGAATCTTATGAGATATATCCTATTATTACTTATTTTTTAAAGGACTAGAAAGTGGGTATTTAGGTAAGTTGAATAACTTGCCCAGGGTCACACTGCTGGTAAGTGGCAGAGACAAAGTTCAACTCAAATATTCTCATATTCAAATTGAGTCTCCTTTATACTATGTTGTACCCTAGGCTATACCAAGATTTACTTAAGAATAACTCAGTTTAAATAAAAGATTCAACCCGTGTATGCAAATTGGTAAACTAAAAAATGTATAAAACTAAAAATGTATTTTAAAATGTATGGTCTTCTCCTTGGTTCCATTGAGAAAAAAATTGTGCAGATTTTTCTTAAGTTCTTTAAATTTCAGGAACTATCAACTCATAGCTTATAGTGCTCTATTATATTACAAACTTGAAAATCCTTAAAGAAAATAACGATTGGCTTTCATTCTTTAAATATTGTTAAGGCATGCACTGCCATTACCTAAATCACTTTTTACCTGTTCCTTTACATTGTTGTGAACACTTCATCTTTAAAGATCCAAATATACATGGGTTTTCACTCTTAGTTCTATTCTCCTGTACCATTTAAAGAAGCGATTTTTGGTTGGTTTGGTCAAGGAGGAATCTGCTTCACTAACTCCCGGGAAAGTTCAGGAGGAGGTAACACAAGGGCAAGGGCATCTTGGACGTGGGATACTGTTACATGTAAAGACCCATCTCTTTCCCTATCTCTGTTCTCACAGAATGTGTGACACAGGAGAAGGACTATTCACTTTTCAAACGAGGGAAGGAGAAATGATCTATCAGAAGGTCCATTCTGCGACACTGGCCATAGCTGAGCAACATGAAAGATTAATGCTAGAGATGGAGCAGAAGGCCCGGGTAAGGCTCCCTCCTCGGTAACCTAACAGCTTGGAAATGAATGTCACTGAGGTGTGATGTGAATCGTGTACATGTGGGTCTGTTCGGGTCAGCGCCTCGGTGTCCACCCCTGCCCTGGTCCTGAGGGTGAGCCCCAGTCACCACACCTGGGAGGCCCATAATCTCCTCTCTCCTAATACCCTACAAAGTGGATCACAAAATAAGTTATTGGTGGCTGCTGACTGCGAGCTCTGCACCTGTGTGTGACCTGTTGCCTTGGTCACCTGAGGGGTAGAGGATGAAATGAGAAGCAATGCTGTCTGCATGTCCCCACATACTGCTGGACAGTCCGAGAGTCAATTGTGGGCTCAAAATAACTAGGAAAATTAAGTTACTACCAGAAAGTAACTTTTCATTTCACTTTTATCTTTGTCTTAGGTGCTTTTAAACTTCTAGCTTTTTCTGTATATATTTCAGAGCCAATAATAAAATGGTTGCAGAAGGAACTTAGACTGTTTAGCAACAGAATAACTCGCTTATTGTCTTGTCCTAAAACTGTACTATGGTTTTAGGGTCCAGCTAAGAAATAACTTAGTAAAGAATCTGAAGTGGTAGATTTTACAGCTCGCTGAAAAAACTGATAAGCTTTACTACTAACTTGTTTGAAAAGCAAACAATGGGATGGATATTGGCTATAACCTGAAGAGATGAATATCCTGTCTTTCTTCAGGATTTATGAAGATGCCTTAGACTTCAACTCTAAAGGGACAGGTGGTGCCTAGGAAATATCCCTAATTCTCTTTGGGAAACATCAATAAGTCTATTCCAGTTTAAGACAATGAAGTTTTATATCTGGTATTATATTAGCTTCAATTTTTAAAATTCTACATAATATTTTGAATTATAAAAAAAATTCTCTTTTTTAAAGGAAGAAAACAAGTCATTTAACAAATGATCATATGCTATTCTTAATGCATATTCCTAATGCATTTCTAATTTCCTCAATACTACATATGTATTTTTATCTCTCCATCCTGGATATTGTTAAAAGAACCTAACACTGAGGGGGACATTGACAAGTCAGGCTTATCCAGGACCTTTGCCCCACCGTGGGAATGGATGAGTAGCTCAAGTGTTAGTAGATTATTCATATGTAAGTGTGGGGTTGATTGAATAATGATCTATAAGGGACAATTAAGATTTAACTTTCTAGAAATATTTGGGTTAAATTTAACCCATTGTAGAATTATCTAATTAATATGACATTTTTCTAGTGGTTTAAATCAGGTGGAAGAATATAACTAGCATTTTAAATTATTTCAGAGTCTTGTACACTCATTATCAGCCCATATTTGCAATCTGCTAATGCTCGTTTTCAACCAAAATTAACAATCATGATACCACTTGTTATTGGTTAATAGTTGTAGTTCTTCTGTACTTATAGTTGTTCTAATAGGCAATGGCTCATAAGTAGGGTGATTTAAATTATATTTTCATGGTGGAAATTCCAAGAGCTCTTTCATACAACCATAATTATCTGCCATAAAGAACAGTCTCCAGTTTGTGTCCTGGGCTTACATCCCAACACCACCACTTACAGGTTATGTAATCTTGGACAAGTTATTTAACTGCTCAGTCTCATTTTTTTTTTGTGTCAGGGGGATATAATCCACTCATTTTAGGTTTCTATGCATTAATCTGTATAAAGTACTAAGGATCAGACCAGGCACATAGAAGTACCATCAAAGTGTTCATTATTATGATGGTGCTTTAAGAGTGATTTTGAATAATTATAAGACTTGCAATATTTGCGAAGACACTAAATTGTTATTCCTAATTGTTGCTACCTAGTATCTTTCACACCCTTCCCAAGTATGCCTGCCAATCTTGTGCCAAAAAAATTTGCTAAACACAATTTAATTCCCTTTTGTTGTTGATATTTTCATGTGTTTAACATGTCCTGGGCCACTGAGAAGCAAGTCCAGGGAATGGAACCAAGCAATCGCTGTTAAGGGCTTAGAGATGAGGTGATGGATCCACTTACTACAATCTCAGACAGTCGGAAGCTGGGGCATCCACCACGGATGTAGGGATGTAGGTGCAAATGCTCTGAAATAGAAGGGAAAATGCAGCAGATGTTCAAACAGCAGGCTCAAAGTCTCAACACAGAAACCAAATGTTTCTGTGAAACACAAAATCACAAAGAAATCACAAAATCACAAGAAATCACAAAATCAGTGACTCCATCACTTGTTGTATACATGTAAACTGAGTGTTTTGTTTAATTCCAAAAATGATTTCACAAGTATGCTTTTCTCTGAAGGTTAATACTAGTAAAAATTGTTCCCTATCTAGTCCATTCTTCAGGGTAAGCTGAACTAATGTTTTCTGAGGGCATCCTCCCTCAACTTACAATGGACCCAATTCCCAGAATTCTATGGCCATAAGTAAAGGTTTCCATTTCTCCCAGACACAATTTTTTCTTTTAAAATACCTTGCCTACATGCACAAAACCTTTAAAAGAGAAGAGTCAACAGGTATGCAAGAGTGCTCAAATACCTGTCTAATTCTTCATTTACTATTTAAAATAAAATGAAGCCCTGTGGTATAAACTAGGCAAAAGTGTCACATGGGTGTTGGAATGGTACCCAAAAACCTATCTAAGATGGAAAAATGTTACACTGCATTTATTATGTTTCTACTACAAAATAAAATGACACCATTAATTGGCTTTCCAGTTTTAAAAGTGGGCCATGTGAGATTAACGTTGATCAGATAGCAATTGTTTATATGTTTTAATGTGATTTAAAAGATTTTATAAGGTCGAATTACAAAAGAGTTATGTAAGCAATAAACATCCCAGACATAGTTGTTCAGGCAACTGAAGCATTTACATTCATCCTTTTAAAGAGAGATAATTTAAGATCGTTTACTGGCTTTACAGATAAACTTGAATAAGAAATAATTTCTTAACAACCATTTCTTACTTTAACAGAAACAATTAGACAGGATCTTTTGATATCATATGTTTATAAAACCTTCTTTTGCCCTTATTTATAACCTTCCTTCTTGGGGGCCACATGAATAAACATATTTTGATGTATCTTCATAGTCTAAATTAGGCCACATTTCTATTATTGCTTGAAGAACTTGTTATCTAGAAAAATTTCTCAGTATTGTGAATAAAATCTCATTTGCCACTAAACAGAGTACTGAACAAAAGAACTACTAAATTGGTAAGATAGTTACCGTATTTTTATTTCCTTCAACTGAGATAAATATTGAAAACATTAACTAATATTAGCTGACTGAATTAAAATGTTTTTAAGTAGAGGTTAGCTAGGCATCAGCCACTCCCCAGTTTGTCCAGTCTGACTCTGTGTCCAGTCCCCTGCACGGTGCTACAGGCAAACACAAGAGAAAGTGAGAAAGCTCCTTCTCTCAAGCAGCCCAGAATTTTGTGGGATCAGTTTGTTCTGCCCAGAACAAAATTATCTTCTGTCCTTCAACTCCTTGAAATATCAAAAGTTCTCCATACCTTAATGCAATTGTGGGCAAGACATCATCATCACAAAGTTTTGATACACAATAATAAAAACACACCGCTGCTTGGGCTTGTTCATATTGTCATGACACTGGAACTCGATTGATTTCTCACATAAGCAACTCATGGGAAGCTCCTTAGTCTACCCTCCATAGAGAATGATTTCTTTAGTACAAGAAGACATCCTTCCCATTTTGCATTCAGATGTATAGCTATAGCTCCTCACTCCTACCTCCAAGTGAGAGCTAGAGAGTGGTCATGGTAGAAAAGAGGATAGCAATCTTAATTAATCTCTATATCGTCTTCATTTTTTTAACCCCAAACTATTTTTTTAGTCTTTCTCTGTCTCTCAGGCTGGAGTGCAGTGGCATGATCATAGCTCACTGCAAACTCCAACACCCAACCTCAAGCGATCCTCCTGGCTCAGCCTCCTGAGTACCTGGGACTACAGGTGCATGCTACCACACTTGGCTAGGTTTTTTATTTTTTATAGAGATGGATCTTGTGATGTTGCCCAGGCTGGTCATGAATTTCTGGCCTTAAGTGATCCTTCTGCCCCGGCCTCCCAAAGTGCTGGAATTACACCACGCCCAGCTCCAAACCATTTTTAAAAGAAAGTTTAGGAGTACCTGGGAGAATTAAGCCAGGGTAATACAATTTAAGCTGTAACTATTTTTTGAGACATTACTAATATTCAAGTATTTGAAGAAATTACTAAAGCTTGATATTTGAACAGGATATCTTCACCTTTGGGATGTGTTTCCATTTCACAGAGATTGTTCTTCTTAGAACGGGCAAAGCTTCTTGGATTCTCTTGCCCAAAGCCTCCCTGCATGCTCTGCCAGGCACGTGCAGCATTGTCAAAGAAAGCTTTGACTTCCTTTGTGACAGGTGCCATTCATCAGGAACTACATCACAAATGCGCCCATATGATTTCACCTGCTGAGGTTGAGTATAGGCTGAAATCATAGACAACAGGCTTCAAATGCCCTGAAATAATTTAATTTTGGATTTGCATGGATCTGTTTTACACACACACAATTTTTTTTAAATTTTGCTTTTTATATTGTTAAGCAAATTATTTTTAAATGCCCACAGGTAAATAGCAACAGGAGATATGAGTGAAAGAAAAGGAAAAATAAAACCATCATTTTTATTGCTTCTCAGCCTTTTGGCTAAGATCAAGTGTAGCTTTTTTTATTCTGATATCTTATCAAACATAAGCAAATTATAAAAGGAGGGATTGTCATTAGTAATTTCTAACCTTCTAACATTGCAAATAATTTAAAAACATATTTGTACATAAACACCCTCACTTAATAAGAATTACACTGTATCCTTTTTTTAAAAAAAGTAGCATTTAGGATGCTCCTATTCTCCTGCAATTTCCATCTCCTGGTCAAAAGATGGGCTCCAGAAAGCCCTGTGCACAATGTAAAGACAAATAGCTGGAAATACCAGCAAGATGTCAAGACTTCATCTAAAGCCTTAAAAACACCATCAGCAGCATGGGCTCCTCCCCGGAGTTGTCAATGCTGTAATTTTCCTAAGCTCTAGTGGATAGAAAAAAGGAACAACAGAGTCTTACATAAAACTTCCTTCTTTGAAAACAAATGCGTGTTTTCTTTCTATTATTTGCCATTTCAAAGTTATATTTCTTAGAAATATAAGGAATAAAAGTCAAATTCATGCATTTAACAAACTATAAACAAAATATTACTGTTTCAATAACCTTAAACATTTTGACCAATTATTTTGAGTCATAATTATTTTAAAATAAATTCTTATTTCCTTGTATAACATAAGATGAAAGTACATTTCTGATCAAGAAGCAGCACTGTTTTACCCTTACCAACGACCCCACCGGCATATAGAAAAGTGTCAGAGGATGCCTGTACCTCAGAGGAAAACAAAAGAGGAGAGAAGTGTAGGGAGACCAGGATGAAAGAGGACAAAGCTAGCTTTGTGTACAATTTATTTAAATAGTGGCTAGAAATTAAATGAACTTACCCATCTACAGTTATACTTTATCATAAAACTCAACCAACTATTGATCACTCAGCCTATGAAATAATTTTTTCTCTAAATATTAACAGTTGCAAGAACTGGAACATAACTACCATATTGCATCAATTCCCAGGTACACATTTTTTTTTCACATTTTAACATCTCTCAGGTCAAATGTGAATTACAGTTAAATTAGCAGCAGTGATCTTTTGCAGTGCTATGTAAAATAATGTTTTGTCTCACAATTGATGGCATCTTAGAGTGTATCAAATATAGTAATACTTTTTATAGGCAGAGAACATACGCTTATTTATAATTTTTAAAAGAACATGAAAGCCTTCCAAATGGGCTCAATCCTCAGCAGTTTGGCTTCCATTTTAGCAAAAACATCATTCTTAGCCACGTTTTATAGAAATCACTGTTGGCTATAAAAAAACAATAGTTTTTCTACACTAAAAATATGAAGAATTGGGAAGCACCATACTCTGATAAGAGGTACATAGAAGATTTTTTTAACAGTCTTTGCGGTTTCTTTTCTGAGTATATTCATAGAAGTTTTTTAGAAATCCTAGGAAAAGTTTAAGTGTGTGATTTGAGTTGGCAAGTGGCATATAATATTTTATATATAAGAATAACTGAAAATTTATTCTTTAGAGTTCTATTCATGATTCTATTGTTTAATATTATCAATATTAATCATAATATTCCAGCCTTTATTATTACTGACAATGACTGGTTCCCTGTTGGGAAATACCATTTGCATATTTGTGAAACTTTCTTTTACTGATAGACATGGATTGTAATGAAACAACGCAAGCTCAATTAGAATGAATTATTATGGTTGATAAGGAAAGTGAACCTGTGATCCTAATTTCCTAATTGATCAATTCACTTACTGTTGTTCAGTTTCAGAACACTAACGAAAATCTAGTCTTTAAATTAAAAAGAAACCACATGTGCACACAAAAAAATGCATGTTTCTACATGAATACACAAATCAGATGGAAATGGTAAGGAGGTAACGTAATTCGTCTAATCGGTGGTGCTGTCGCACAGGGGAAGAGTAAACATTAGATTCACATCATGGTTTTTTTTTCTTAAAATTTGTTGTTTCCTTAAAATTTGCCTTTCTAGAAGTCACTTCAGAAAATGCATTTCCCATATATATTTCTCAAATTGAATCAACTAGAGTTGATTCTGTATAAGAAAAATGACTGCCTAACATAAAAGGGTATCATTTCCAGGTTAAAAAAAGTACAGTTTTGTTTCTTTTATTTGTATGGCTGTACATGAACAGTAAAAAAGAAAGCTCTACAAGGATGTTTTCCTTAAATGAAAACAATAGATTTCAAAGGTTAATCGAAATGACTCAGCATACAAACCTATCATGACAACATATACACATACAACCCAATGACCCAGACCATCTTTTCTTTGGGACAGAGCTGTAAACCAGAAAAATCTTTTTAAAAATGTAGATGGCTTATACTAAGCAAAGCTGTTATGTAAAAAAATCAAAATAATAAAATAAAATGTAGGCAACTAAAATCTAAGAATTGATGTAAAGATAGCATGGGTGGATAATGAAGGCTACTTTCAATGAATGTGAACAAAGGGAAAGACTCTAACAGAGCTGTGTGCCTTTGAGCAAGTCACTTAGGTTCTCTGTTCTTTAGTTACCTCTTCTTAAAAGAATTTTAGGAGGACACAAAAATATCTACTTCAGTGTATCAGAATACCACCTGCTCTTTAGTAAAGGCTCAGTAATTATTAGCTAATTCATAAACTAGCTGGCAAGAAAACAATTTAGCTTTATTTTTAAATGGGAAAAATTGTTTTAACCACTACTAAAAATTCATCTCAGATCTCATCATGTGCAGATACTGAAAATAAATTATATACACTTCATTATAGCTTCTAGATATTTATATATTTAAAATGAAAAAAGGAGAAAATTTTGATTTAAAACAACTATAAAATTTAGTATTTTAATATGTACTTACCTTGTTCCTTATATTCAAACAGCAGCTTTGCAAATGCACCTCCTTACAGATAGACAGAAATAGACACAGGTTAAGAATATGTAGAGAGGGGACAAGATGGCTGACCAGAGACACCAGCTGCCAGATCATCATCTCAGAAAGAAGGAAAAGTTTTAGATGAAAAAGAAACAAACGAACAAGCATAGGTTGGGTGTAATTCCAAGGGAAAAGTGCCAGAACCTACCAGAGATTCCATGGGAAGAAGCTGAGGAGCAGAACAAGAAGGAGCAAGATATCAGCAGAGATCAACCCCCAAGAGGCTTGGAGTCCAGGAAAAGGGGTGGGTGGAGTGGATGGTTTCTCCCTCCTTCGCATCTCTGGCAGTCAGCAGGCTCCTGGGTTCCTGGAGAGCCTTTCTACCCTAAGGAGCCCAGAAGGTGCCACTGCTAGTGAACTGGGAGCTTCTTGGGGACAAAGCACCAGGACAAAGCACCTTCACCTGTGGCTGCTGAGAATGAAGATTGAGCTGGAGCTCTCAGAAATGGCTGCTTCTCCTCTGTTGGTGAATCCACCACCCCAGGGCTTCCATAGAGAATGGGCCCAAACCTTTCCTCTTAAAGACCTGTAGCAGACTAAAAGGGTGCTTGGACTGTGAGCTCCCTGCTCACCAGCCCTCCCTGGTGCTGCTTGCCTGCCTCCTTGGTCAGAACATGACACACTCCAAAGTAGAGGGAAATTAAACCTGCTTGGGCACCTGGTAGGCAATTTCAGACCAGCACACTTTTGCCTGGCATACTCAGGGATTGATCTTCAGGGACCCAGGGACAGGCCCATAGGCCAGATCATGCACCCCTAGGATGGAGCATATTGCTCATCAGCACAAAGAGGAGATTAGTGAACTAATCTCAGGGGTGAGGGAGCCCACGTGGGCAAAACTGAAAAGAGAGTTCAGTGTAGGTCCCAGCTGAAGTGCACTCCCAGAGCAATCCTCCCCCTACTGGTAGGACACGCTTTCAGCCCAGGGCAGGATCCTAGACAGGGAAGCTCCCAGCCAACAGTGCCATTGTAGGGGAGCTCAGCTAGTTTGAGCTCTTTTCTGCCAACAAATGCTGAAGGGAGACTGCTGAGCAGGTGAGGAGAGAAGGAGAAGAGTGAAACCTACTTCTGACAGCCAGATTGCGAATCTCAGATGGCCCCACCTCCGTAAGAAGACTTTCTGGCTAGGTAGGGCCACTTCAGCCCCTCACTGGTAGCTTTCCCCAGAAGTCTACAGCAGACCTTTGACCCCTGCTGAAACAGCAACCTCCACATGAGCCTTTGTGGAGGTTGAGGGCAGGGTCACCCACGCCAGCTCTACCCAGCCTCACTCCACAACCTGCCTCTGCTGTGATGGAGAATAAGAACTCACCTAGAAGTTCGAGGGCCCTACTCACCACCTGCAGCATTTGAGTGCTTCTCCTGAGGGGCTAGAGTTGTTCACAGGTCCCAAAAATAACACTGCAGCTTGTTCCTTCCAGCAAATGCCACCTACTTATAGGGAGATCAAATTGCATGGCCCTTTACAGCATTTACTGACTCAGTCATACAGGGTGTGGACGATTCTAACCTACAAACACTACCTGTTGTCTCAGAAATTGAGCTGGCCATGCCAATACAATTCACACTGTTGAAAAAACCATAGGGCTGGGGAAAGAGAAAGGATTTCAAAGATCTCCACCCTCTGTCATCAATAAGAGACAGGGAATCTGACCACACACAGCTCACCACTGCTAGAGCCTGCAAACAACTAGCAACTGAAAAAAACAGCACATTAAGAATATCTATAACCAAAGCATTCATCCGGAACCTAGATTGCCATCAAAGCACCCACAAGCTAGAAGTCCTTGCCAGAGAAATCAAGCAAGAGAAAGAAATAAAGGTCATCTAAACTGGGAAAGAGGAGGTTAAATCATACCCCATAAATATACACATAATACATAAACTCAACTTGTAAAATAAAAATAATAAATATACAAGAGAAAAATGGGCAGAAACAATGCTCATTAGTCATTTGAAATAATGCTTCCATATATTGATAAAGTACATTAAAAATTTAGACAAATACATAGAGAAGGAAATACAGAGTGTATAGTGCTTACTTGCATGTGTATGTGTCTGTGTTGAGAAAGAGAGTCTCCACATCAATGTGAATATCTCTTTAAGTACCTATAAAACATGGACAGAAATTGGCTGTATATTAGATAACAATGAAAAATAAACTTCAGTATATGGAAACTATTCAGTCCATGTTCTCTAACTACATTATTAAATAAATGTTAATAAAATGTGCACAAAAAAGCAGCACCTTAACAAAATATACAGAAGCAATACATTATATAAAGAAGGAAAAAAGCTACAATTATATAATTTTAGGAAAAATGATTCCATTTACTTATCAAGCCAGTGGGAAGTAGACAAATGAATTCAGAAGCAAATGCTTTCATGAAACAAATAAGATTATATTGCAAATACTTGCAAATATAATCAAATAATACAAAATACAAATAATTGCAAATACTTAACTTGACGAGGTAGAAAAGACCAACAAAACAACATAAGAAAATAGGATGTGAAATTACTTAGGACAACAGCAAATATAACTACTAAGAAAACTGAAAATATATATGTATCTCCATAAATAAACACAAGTCTCTCTAAATGTAAAGTATAAGAAAACTATTCAAAGTGAAACCCATTATATAAATTCTACATAGAAAGGGCTTATAAAAACAGGCAAAATTATTTCTAAGAGAATTTGATGCTTCTTTATAAAAATGTAAACAGCAAATAACCTTTGGAGGATTAATGACTCTTTGAGAAACAGTGTTCATAATTCTACTTATATATATAAGCTAAAGTCCCGAATGGAATACTGACCTAATTTCTTTTATTTTCTCAAAATTCTTTAGTATTGAGATTTGTTAGTTTTAGTATGAAAAGAGCAGGAATAACTTTAAAGCCCTTCGATGTGGAAATATTGAATAAATTTGGGACATAGCAAAGAAAGGGCCTTGTATTAGCCAAGGTCCACTTAAATAAATAAAGCCTATGCCAAACAGTTCAACAGAGGAAACTCAATAAGGTAATTTGGATTCAAGGTGGAGGGAAGAGCAGACAACTCAGAGATTAATGAAAGTGGGAAAGGTACTACCACCCCTCCCTTCCTTACCTGCGCAGTTGCAAGGATTTTTGGGGAAAACACAAAACTCCTGGCGCAGAGACGAAGGATCTTATTATTATGGCACTAGCGAGCATCATGAGTTTCGTGTTCCCGTAACTTTCCCTGTCCCCCAAGTCCTGTGGGGCCAGGGGTACAGCCCAGGTGGATGCTGCATGTTGCCACAGCTAAGGAACCTGAGTTGAGGGAACGTCTGATCTTATAATGTGGCTGCTATAGCAGAGCTGCCCAGCCTTTGCCCCGGACGTAGACATTTTCTGTATTGTCCTGATCAAGAAACAAATCTTCCCTGGGGAAGATACTGTATCTTCTGAGCCTGTTTGCCACACAAACTTACTTGAAAAGATAGTAAGGAGCCAAAGTTCTCACAAGAAATGCAAAACCAGAGTAA